CGCATTAAAGGCGATAGAGCTTGTTTTTCTGTATTCAGGAATTGCTTGTAACTTCTTCCTTTTAGCTGCCCGCCCCTTTCTTGCATTTTCAAAAATGACGCCCTTCAATGGATTTATTTCTCGGTTATACTCTTCATAAAACTTTTTCGGGACGAGTTTAGCGGTAATATTCCAAATTGTTTTCACAGTCCCTTCTTTGTATTCGGTGCCGTCTGCACGTTTCATGTTGAATGCCCAATCCTTCAAGATACTTGCCAATTGTTCTTCAGAAGTTTGAGCAGAAAGCTTATAATTTCGCTGTTCACAAAATTCTGTAAACTGCTTCCAGACATATTTGTGCGTTTTTAAAGTATTTTGGGGACGTATTTGTTGATTGATTTCCAATTCAGAGCTTGAACCGAAGCATTCCATTTTTTTTTGACGTTTATTGATAAATGTTAAAACTATCGTTACCATGACATAGTTCACATTGTTGGAAGAGGCGAAACACCAAAACGGTTATACCACGTCGTCAAGAGTATAATCGCTTATCAATACATAGTAACTACGTAAAATTTGTAATTGCTTTTGGCTAAATTTCTAATGAATTATATAATCTGAATAATACGATTTCAATTAAATTTGTTGTGAATTTCTCATTTAGCTTCTAGAATAGTTATTTTTGTATATAGTGCGCGAAATGCTACTTTGGTGATTGAGCATTGAATTTTTTAACGAGGTGAAGCCGAGTTAAAAAATTATTCGAGACCACCAAAGTAGTTCGCGCACGAAATGCAAACAATATTTTTTCTACAAACGTCAAAATATATCTCTTAAAAATATTATAAATAAGTAAAATGCCTAATTTATTATAGAAAATAGTGTTGAGCTGGCTTAAAATGTCTTTCCTAATCAAATTTTCACTGTTACTATGGAAACAAAGTGGCTGTTGTTGACAACAATAATAATTATTTTAAAGTAACGTTTGTGCTCGCGTCTTCCATTTTTAAGTGCCAGATATTATTTAAAATAATGGAAATTGCTAGTGACGATGAACTAAGTAGTACCCCACCTAATTTGGCAGATGCGGCCAATTTGGTAACTTCAAATCTTTTACCGGAAAAATCGAAGGGCCAATATGAAAATGCATATTGGCAATTTAAGGAGTGGTGTGAAACAAATAAAGCAAGAAAAGCATCCGAAAATGTGTTGTTAGCATATTTTGCAGAAAGATCCAAGAAGTGAATAAATAATAATTTGGAGTTTTGCTCCATTTTTTCAAAGATTGAAACACAAAACTCTTATTAATTTACATGCAGTGTGCGAAATACTTCGCACCCAAGTGCGCGAAGTATTTCGCGCACGGTGTCATGGTAACGTAAGAATCTGAAAAAAAGTGTCACTTCGGATATTGTTGTCAATGCGCAAACCTTGTCATTTTTTGACGTTTGTAGAAAAAAAAAACATTTGGATGTCCGTTTTTTTAAGGGTGGTTACGGACCATTCTCAAAATGGCTGCCAAATTATCTCGGCTCTTAATCATACCATCTCAATCAAATTTGTTGTGGATGTCGCATTTAATTACTAAAGACGGAATTTGGACATCTGGTTGGTTCACAAATTTTTTTAAGGGTGGTTTCGGATCATCTCCGAAATGACTGCCAAATTATCTCTGCGCTCAACCATACGATTTCCGTGAAATTTGTGGTGGATGTTACATTTAATTATTAAAGACGTCCGGTCGACTCACAAATTTTTTTAAGGGTAGTAAGGACCATTCTCAAAATGGCTGCCAAATTATCTCGGCTCTTAATCATACGATCTCAATAAAATATGTTGTGCATGTCACATTTAATTACTGGAGACGGAATTTGGATGTCCGGTTGACTCACAAATTTTTTTAAGGGTGGTTTCGGACCATCCCCGAAATGGCTGCCAAATTGTCTCTGCTGTCAATCATACGATTTCCGTGAAATTTGTTGTGGATGTCAGATTTAATTACTAAAGATGGAATTTGGGCGTTCGGTCGACTCACAAATGTTTTTGAGGGTGGTTTCGGTACATCGCTAAAATGGTTGTCAAAATTTGTTGTGGATGCAATATTGAACTTTCGAAGTTGGGAATAATTGAAAAAGTTTATACTTTGTAGCACATAGCACATTATCATTATCATTATCATTATCATTATCATTATCATTATCATTATCATTATCATTATTATTATTATTATTATTATTATTATTATTATTATTAAACAAAAATGAATTGAAATACAATAAAGGAAATATGAGTTTCAATTAGATATAAAGAAGCTTCCTAAATATTAATATTAATTTATCGATTTTTTCAGTACCTACTGCCTACATAAATCGCACATATTGTTCACCAAATAATTTGGCGAGTATAAAGATATGCATCTTATATGAACGTACCGCAATCAGAAGTTGCATCGGTGTCCTCTGATAATGCATATTTGCTACAAACAAACAGATTTTCTTCATATCATCGGATAATCGTATAATCATCTTTTTAAGGTCAACTCTATAATCTTCCATGGAATATAAATCGGTAAGTGCTTCCTGTTTTGTTAATTTTTCGAAGAAATACTAAATATATGGACCGCAGTTACATCCGTCAGTTTGACGTGTTCGTCTACGACAATGTTTAACTCATTGTTTATTTTTACTGACGCTGCTCCATTGTAATACTCCAAAAATTTTAAAAATTTAGTTAAATATTCATTACTTTTGCTGTACGTAAATTCGAAGATCAATAAAACGAAACTCCTTTCTCTCAAAATAAATTATTACGATACAAAAATGGTTTCCCCCTACCAATAAGGGCATAACAACGTTATTCTTTTCAAATTTGAAGGATTTGATCATTGGATAATTGTATCCCTTCGAAAAAATTACTGATGAGAAGTATTTTGGCACAATTTGATATTCTCTGTTTTTATCAATCAGAGCGAGGCAAATTTCAACAATGAAATTAGTTAGCCAAGAAGTTCCAGAAAGGCATAGGTAAACACCGATAAGAACCTCATGATTATGCAGGTCTATATCAGCGTAGATAGCAACGGTATATCCTCGATTTGGAACGCTCTTATAATAGCATATATAATTTACTAGGTTGTTCTGTGGCAATTCTATCTCATGTAAGGTGGTCCACTTAAGTTGACTTTCGCTATATTTAACTTTAAGTGTTAGATACTATTATGGGCAAGACATGAAAAAGATAAAAGTCCTTTAGTTTTATTTCCATCTTTTCCAAAAGCGCGTATTTCTTGATATCCTTTTTATAGATAAATCCTTATAAGCAAGCAAGATTCGCCTCATCGGGGTGGAAGTATCTTTTACTATACGGGCATTTTATTTCTAATAATCGGAAATCGTATGATTGAGAGCAGAGATAATTTGGCAGTTATTTTGAGGATGGTCCGTAACCACCCTTAAAGAAAATTGTGAATCGACCGGACGTCCAAATTCCATCTTTAGTAATTAAATCTGACATCCACAACAAACACGGAAATCGTATGATTGAAAGCAAAGATAATTTGGCAGACATTTCAGGAATGGTCCGAAACCACCCTTAAAAAAATTTGTGAATGGACCGGACGTCCAAATTCCATTTTTAGTAATTAAGTGTGAAATCCATAACAAATTTCACGAAAATCGTATGATTCAGAGCCGAGTTAATTTGTGAGTCACCCTGAGGTCCAAATTCCATATTTAGAAATTAAATCTGACATCCTCAACAAATTTCACGGATATCGTATGATTGAGAGCACAGATAATTTGGCAGATATTTGAGGATGGTCCGTAACGACCCTTAAAAATATTTGAGAGTCGACCGGACGTCCAAATGTTTTTTCTAGAAGCTAAATGAGAAATTCACAACAAATTTAATTGAAATCGTATTATTCAGATATATTTATTTGTTTTCATTCGAACTTGACTGTTAATTTATTTTTAATATTTTATTATTTATTTTATAACTCTATATTTGTTTGGGTGGTAGTCATTTCACATCTTTAACAGGTTACTTACATATATTTAATAATTGGATTTAATAGGTCTAAATATAAATCTCAGACTTTGCTAAAACATGTGTTTTTATTATTCTTACTTCTTTAGACATATGTTTGGATCGGCCAAGTTCGGATAATTTGGCTGCTATCTTTGGCTGCTATTTTCACACCGGTCTAATATGTCGCTCATTTGTGAGGACGATTTGAGTACGATTTTAAGTGACTCATTAAAGTAGAATTGTGTATGAATACGATTAGGGTGAGTTTAGTATGAGATGTGTGAGTGAAACTTAGTGAGATCTATGAATTTGGGCCTAAGTCCAACAAGCTCATGATCACTCACGCTTTGAAGGAAGAAATTGAGCGCTGTATCAACGAAATTCAACCGCATTTATGCAAAATGGTCACGGAATGTGCGTCTGTGCCAGAAAAGCCGTGGATGCCATTTACCCTATATGCAATATCGTATATACCTAACCATATACTGTAAACTTTATGAATCAATAAAAATTTTACAATTTTTCATTAAAAACCTGTGTTTTCTATCAAAGCTACTTCTTGCGTGAATTTTGGGACATCTCTTTTTAGACACTTTAGTTAGCTAATAATGTTCCCATCAGTACGAAGAGTAGTTAACATGAGACGTCCACATTAAAATTAACTTTTGTATCAAAAATGCCTTCACTGTTATTTATGCTGTCTACTGCTATGTCTAATTCACAGCACAGTAAGAAGTTTCATTATTACATCAAGAATATAAAATGGGTGTTAACAATTATATTTTTTAAACTCTTTTAGAGCCTCGAACAATCCAGTAAGTTTAAATTTAGAGAATATTTCGAGGCCTACGATAGGACCTCTACATACTAACGCCTTATCTGTCTATTCGGTTGTAAAGCGACTGGATGACAAAACCAGCATTATCGATATTAAGCTCTTCATCATGCACGAAAGTGCACTCTCAATACCTAAAAGTAATTGTTCTATCTACCTCAAATACAGGATGACCTGCATTTCCTTCAGTGTAATATATAGATTCATTCAAATACGCATTTCTGGAAATGTGGTTTTTGCGATACTTTCCTAAATATTCTCCGTGGTTATCTATAATAACAGCTGTGTTCCAAAGAGTATCGTTGTAAATATCGTCCCTTTCTAAAATAGGAGAAATTATCACCATGTTATGTATTTTGGCTAACTGGAAATAAATTGATTAATATATAGAACAACGCAACGCATATGTATTATAAGTACCTCTTGCAACATTTTTGTTGTTGGTCCAGTTTTTGCACTTTCGGCGTATTCACACCATGGGTTTTTTTCTCTGGTACAGAACGCATAAGGCATATCTGAAAGGAAAGTTAACACATGAGAATTAAATAATTCCATGTAATATATAGGTACTCTAGAAAGAAAGGAAATAAAGTTAGAAATATATCAAGACAAATAATATGAGGAAGGATATCTGTTGTCAGCCAAGAAAGGAATTTTTTCGCATATTTTTATATTTATTCATATATCTTTTAGGTTTGCATTCTCTCTGCAGCAAAGCAGCAAAATTACAACAGCACCTTTTATTTATCAAAACATGTTTTGTTTAATCTAATGTAAGAGTACTGAGACTCTGATATTCTATGGTTTTTGTTTTCGAAAAAATTGACAACACTGCATTCAAAGGTGTTGGGAGCAGAACGTGCGCTCATTTGTCCATCAGTTGAGAACTGTTGTAGTGGCGTATTGAAATGAGTGCCGCTATTCCAAATCCCGCCAACTGGGAGGTGAGAAGCGTAGTTCTGTGTTTTTTTGCAAAGGGAAAGGCGCCGTTTCAGATTTTCGGCTATCCGGATCCGGTTGGATCTTTCACAAGTAATTTAATTTTCAAACCGGTTTGGCCGATATTAGTCTCAGTTGCATTTTTATCATGACAAGAGATGGATCGTAGACGCATTGCAATTATGTGGCTTGGCTATTGCCGATGTCGTCGCAATAAAAAAAAAAAAAATATATGAAAAGACTAAAGTTTTGTCCCACTGGACAGGTCTGAATTCAGGCAGTGATATAAAGAATGCTATATCTACTTCTAGCGAACAAACATTCGACATAATTGCGCACAAATATTTAAAAAAATAATTGGCACCCTGTTCTTTTCAATGAAACCGGACGACTGAACCCGGCAAACACCCGGCAAATGTGAAAGCGTCAATACAAAGCTATGCACTACCAAAGTTTACAGAATATTTATTCTGTAAACTTTGGCACTACTACCACTTCGGTCGCCGGATAGCCGGTACACGGCAGCCGGGCTGGCAGTGGTGGCGATCGGCTACAACCCGGCAGCCGTTCGCCGGATAGCTCCTTCCATCACGTGTGAAAGCTGCCATAAGACTCTGTACACCTTGCTGCCGGGTAACCGGATCCGGTTAGCCGGTTCCGGCATGTGTGCAACGGGTGTAAAGGAAATCTCCTCATTGACTGTTTGCTACAGGAGGAAACAGTTAATACTACGCGGTACTGTGAAACCTTGAAACACTACGGAGGGCGATACAGAACAAAAAAGGACAATGCCAACACCACAGCAACTCTTGGATTTAATCAGTTAGAACATCATCGACCACCCCCCTCACGGCCTTAACCTGGCACCTTCTAGTTTTCATCTTTTCTCTTCTCTAAAGGTGTTTATGGGTAGAAAAAGATTTTATACCGACGATGAGGTTTACAATGCCGTGAAATAATGTGGCCGAGAGGCGGTGAGATTTTTTGACAAAGGTATCAGAATGCCTGTAGATGAAAAAATCATATAACCTTCTTTCATGAAAGACTCTTAAGGTATAAATTCAATGTTACTCATTTTGGATAAAAAAATTATAAAAACTTAATAAAGAAAATAAAGAAATTCTTATGTAGTTATGTCATAAACGATTTAATTTTCGTGTTAAATTTTTTTATTTATTTTTTAAATTTCTTAAGTCAAACTGTGGTGGACATAGTAAAAACCTTGGAACTTCGACTCTACTTAGTATTTTGAAAAATTTCGATTATAGGATTTATATTCCCAATTCCATTTCAAAGAAAAAAAAAGTCTTTTTTATTTTATTTGGAAAATTAACTATTTTCAAAATTTAAAATAAGTTATCACATTTACATGAATCTAGAGTACTTAATATTATTAATTTCACAGATTTTTTTTTATAAATTCGATTTTAAATACAATGTCATCATCATAAAACGTTTCAATAAAATATTAGAATTTTTTAGGTGCAACGTGCAACATTAATTACAAATTAAATAAATTCAATGCTAATGAATTACTTTACGATTTATATTTATTAAGTCACCTTCTATCTTTGAATTTCAATAATAGCTCTTTTGTTGGTATTGTCTGATCTTTTACTAAGGTTTTCATCAATGCAGTTCCACAAAGAACAATTACTACTGTCGTTTATCTCTGCTTGTTGATCCGCTTTATTGACAATTAATGTATTTTGAATGTACTGTGTTTTCATTATTTATTGGGACCATTGATGCGATTGAATTAGTCGGTAGTGAGTTTTCTTACGTTTGCAACAACATTATCTTGTATAAATGCAAAAGCCTCGGGTCGAAAAAGGTCCATAAAGCCAAAGTATTACTAAATTCTATATTGTCTGCTCGTTTCTGTACCCATTGAACTTCTGAATATTCCTGAATAATTGTTCTGATGTTTCAATTTACGGCATATAGTAGAGTAGAATAATAAATCCATTTATCAAAATGATAACTAGCGAGCCTGACATAGTTGTCTATAGAAACACATTTTGTAGTCTCTTTAAAATGCTGCAAAATTTCGTATAGTTCTTTAATAAGGACCCATTCGTTTGGTAGTACATGTGGCAAATTTGCATCTAAAAAACGTATGATGGATTGTATGGAACCCTTATAATTTCTTAAATATGTAGCATATAAAATGTGGAGTTCCAACGAGTGGAATCATTTTGGATTAACTTTTTGGGCATATCTGTTCCATTTTTTTGTTTCTGAAACTGCTAGTTTTGATTTGCACTTGAACTGCCTATAAAATGTCACTATTGTTTTTACGTTGTAAATAACGGAATCAACTAATATTTGGAAATCCTGGACAATGAAATTCAATGTATGGCAAAACATCCGAAATATTTCCACCACAATTCGGTAAATATTGTACATTTTATATTTTTAGTATTGTCAGAAACAACTAAGATAATTTTTTCTTCAAATTCCATTTATAAATATATTATTTTAGTCTTGCGTCCAAATTAGCTGCTATCTTTATTACTCCTGTCGAATTAAATCATAAAAACTTAAAAAATTATTAGTAGACAATTTATTGCACTTTATGATGGAATTTGTATGTAGAATGATAATATTAAAAAAGTAACTCGAAAGAAGTGACGCTAAGTTGGAAAATTGCAAATAGGTGGCAAAACGTGTTTTTTCACTTTTTTTACTGCCCACGAAAACGGAACGACATATCGGAATATTAGTTATTCTATATCTTAGGCAAAATTACCTACAATTTAAGGTACCTAGAGGCATTTTTCACTAATTTGGTACCTGTAAAATAAAGGTCGAACGCGGAAATATCAGATGAATTGTATGGAAAAGACGGTCAATCAAATGACCAACATGTGTGCCAAACGTCGATTCAATTAGCCGTGAAATTGCTGCTCCAGCTATTTGTTAATTAATTTCCTATTTTTTTTCAATTAATTGTTTAATTACGAAGCGTTAATTTTAGAAGTTAATATCGTAGATGTATATAGGTTCTAATTGATCTAAAAAACATATCGAAAAAGGAAAAGAAAAACCGAATTTGAAATGTTCAAGTCAAAAATCTCGGGCGAGAGCGAGAACGACGTCCATGCGCATGCGCGGGCCTGGCGCTCCTCCCGCGTACAGGCCGTTCATTAATGTTAACTTTTATCGCTGCTGGCACATTTATTAAATGACGTATCAATATAAAACTTTCTTAAAAGAAAACTTTAACCCTTTCTTTAATTGTCTCTAAAATCCCAGTCTGATACGTCCAATAGTTAATTATTATCAATTAACATTATAAAAAAGCTATATTGGGAACAAAGAGGCGAAGGTGTTATTCTTTTTTTTTTAAATTATCGTAAATCAAAAAGAGCGAATTTCCGAGCGGTTTTTGCCTAACCCTGGGACAATTTATTTATAACGCTGTTTTGCATGTCTTACTTTGTTAGTACTATTTCCTACTACTACTTCGTTAGCGCTACTTCATTTCAACTTTATGATATTTTTCTTCTTCGATACGTTTCTTTGGATCAATTAAAACTTATATCTACGATATAAATTTCTAAAATTAACGCTTTGTAATTGTTAGCGAGCGGGCTGCGGTTGAGGAAAATGCGGAAAGGAAACAAAAATTTGTAGATTACCTGGTATTCCCGGAGAGCGTCTTCTTCGAAGGGGCCCCCTGGTGACTCTCTGTAGCTCTTCCGGAACAGGTGGTAGGGTAGGAGGTGGACTGTATAGGCGGAAACGCGGAGGTGGAAAATTTGGCACAAAATATTACTAGGTACAAGGATACCCGCCGGCGACTCTATTCAGACTGTTTAAAATGCCACAGTGAGCGCGTAAGTGCCCTCTGGCGAACAGAGTATTAAGAAAATAACAAAAATAATAATAATAAGAAAATACTTATTTAAAATTAACATGTAGGCGTGAACAGTAATTAAACAAATAGTTGCAAAAAAACGAATGAATTTAATTAACACTAAACAAGGTTTTTAAATGATCCTAATATTGGCATATCTTAAAAGTATTTAATTTACTAAAAATTTTTATCTTTACTTAGATATCTACTATTTCTGAAATATCCAGTGTTTAACTCAATTTCAACTTCTACCGGATATGTTAAATCACATTTTAAAGCCATGTACTAAATAGTAGTATACGCGTTGTTTGGTATTTACTAGGAGTCCCTTAATAAAATGCACTTCTCCTAATAACATTTATTTGTTATCCCGAATGACCTTATTTTTTTTTACCTTACTTCATAGGCGATGACGACATGCGTCTACTCCCCAGTAGTGGGTGGCGTGGGCCGTGTGGGCCACCGCTCACAACTTCCGGTGCAAAGGGCCTCGCGCCTCAAAACCGAAATAAATTAAAGAAAAGTATGGAAAATCCACAAGGTTATTTTATAATTAATAAATTATAAAATTCTCAACTCCATCCATTATTAACGCGTGGCAATACCATAAGCAAATTATGGCAATCTGTACAAGTCCATTTAAGCATTACTTTTGAACATTTGCGCACATTTCGTGCCTGGATCAAAGAATATCGACAAACTGGATTCGAAAAATGCTTGTCTGGCGTTCGTCAGTTTATTGAGAAAAGCAGTTATGGTTTGCCAAACGGTTTTAAAAATAAAAGGGTACCTAGCCAAAAAGAAAAGGATGTTTGATTATGAAGGTAGCGATCAACCTATGCAGTCTGCCAAAAGCCGGTATGAAACAGATTTTTTAATACCATGATTAATTCTGTGATAAGGAATATGGATTCGAGGTTTTTGTCATTAAATCAACATTTTGAAAATTTTGTTTTTCTCTATGACTTAAACAAGTTAAAAAATATCCCAAAAGAGCAAATACTGAAAAACTGTCAAGAGACACAGTCCTGCAAGTAGGTGATGAGAGCAGTGACTTCCAACCTTACGAATTATATGAAGAATTACAAAATATGATCCCAAATTTACCCAACTCCATTACAGGCGTGCTCCAATATGTTATAGAGAACGATTTGAAAGTTTACCCAAATATTTACATTGTCATTCGAATTTTGTTAACAATACCTGTAAGTACTGCTTCCGCTGAAAGGAGCTTTTCAAAATTAAAACTAATAAAAAATAAATTAAGAAATACAATGGGTCAGAAAAGACTTTCAGCTTTGGCAGTTTTGTCTATTGAAGCAGATATAGCATCTAAGATAAATTACGAACCAATCATTAAGGAGTTCGGTAAAACTAAAACTAAAAGTAGAGAATTTCTGTTTCTATAACTTTTTCTTTTTTTTTAATTTTTGTTTAATGTGCTAAAGAAGTATACTTAAGTAAAAAGTTTCTTTATTTCTTTATGAATAAAAAAATTTCAATTTCAAGTGTTTTTTATTTTAAAAACCCCTCTTTTTGCACCATCAGAGGGCCTCGCGAAATGTACCTTGCCCACATTAAATTTAGTTCATTTTTTTTACAATTAATTGTAGTTTGTAGCGCCCCCAAATTTAGTGCTATCTTATTAGAAGGCATGGTGAGCCGGCGCCGTGTCATTGTATGCGGGCATTTTCAATGCAGTATTAACGCCTATAGATTGTTTTGCTTCGTTTTTTTTTTGAACGCGATTATATCGTATTTTATAAAATAATTGAATTAGTGACTACTGTCATTATTCATTTCATGAATTGTCGTAGTTTGGTAAGGATCGGAAACTATTAACTTTCATTAATATACTGGTTGGTAGACTTCGTGGAGATTTTTTTTGTATCACTGATGTGTGTGAGATTATCCTTGAAATATTCTGGGACGTGACCAAAAGAAAGATTAATAGTATTGTACAATCGTATACTAACAAGTCATACTTACTCCAGAGTTCCGGGAAACAAAATATATTGGCTCCACCTCTAGCAGCTATCCGTATCGCTTTATTTGCAAATTTAAATAGGGCATATTTCATTTCTTGAATGGGGGTGGATGTCGGAAAAGGTACCAGTTTGTGTTGAAACGCTGCGACTCTGATGAGCTTCGGACTTCTTAGCTGTTCTTCCTTGCAGTTAAATCCACATGTCACCAATTCTATGTTATATTTAAAAGCCAGTTCTTTGCATTCATCGGACACGTCGATTGTACTGCGAAATAAAGGTGTCTTGGAATTAAAAGAATATTCTACGCCTAAAACTAAGCACATTATATGAACAGAGATACCGCATAGGTTGGCGAAAAGGAAAGCGGAAAAAGCAAATAGAAAACTGTTTATGGTGATGATATAACTATGGGCTGAAACCTCATTGAAATTGTTTTTCTCAATTCCACACACATTTTTTCCATATAATATGAAAGTTTATGAAATATTTTTTTTGATATCTCTTCCCGTTTAACAGAAAAAAAATGTATGGAGAAAAATGCCGTTAATGTCCTGACAGCCTGCGATTTGTAGTGGAAACATCTATTTAATTATCTACTTGTAATTTTGTATTCATTATTGACATAAATCATTTGTTTCTTTAAAGCCATACTGCTAATTTTGAATCTTCCTGAGCTTTCTCAAAAATAATTGTCACATTTACATTTTCGTCGAGTATTCATTTTCTAAATAAATGTAAATTTACACAGAAATAATTAAAACATGTAATGAATATTGAAGATATTGTCACGGATTTTGATTGGTCGTTAGCCGATCTTCACTATCTCCTAGCATATTAAGGAGATCGATCATACAGCGTCACTGTAGAATCGGATGGAGCAAGGGTTCCTGGAATCTCCATTTTTGCCTGCGGTGCCAAATGCTCGGGCGTCTCCCACTTCACGCCAATCTCAACGGACGCTTAGGACAGATAACGTCGATGCTCTGCTCTGCCTTCATTAATGACGAAATTGCTTGGCCTTGGGATAATGGTCCACGCTCAATTTTGTATCTAAAGTTGCACGGACACTGCGATATGTTTTACTTTATATGCTTTTGTTTTGTTTTGAGGTTTTGCACTACGCACTTAATTTTTTTAGAACACTGTCGAGTATGGTACTGTAGTGTGTCATTTTAAACCAATTTTGAGTATTATCAAAATGCCTATAACTTCTCAAGAATGCATTTTATAAAAAAAGTGCAAAAATAAAAAGTTTTTATTTTGACACACCTATGCTCGGATTTCCGTTTGCTATTTTTTTCCTTTCGTTAGGTTTAGGACTCGAAAAAATGCATCACACCTGTGCTCTCTAATTTTAAAATATCGGCATACCCGGATTTCCGTTTGTTATGTTTTTTTTCCTTTCGTTAGGTTTAGAACTCGAAAAAATGCATCTTAAAGGAGAGGCATTTTAATAATTCTCAAAATTGGTGGTTATAATTCCACAAGGAGGCAGTTTAGAGAAAGAAGTGCAGGAATAAAAAGTTTTTATTCTGACCCTAGTAGCACGTCTGTGTAGATTTCAAAATCTTAACTATTTTAATAAAAATTAAATTTCCACTGATTTAGACGTTAGGGAAAAATTGTGACGTGATGACATTTCTGATGGCTCGTTTTTAGCGAGTCAAAATAAAAGGGGAGGTGAAATTTTTCTTGAGTGCCTGTGTTATTAGACTGCGTGGTCACTGGGCTGACGGTCTATGACATTTAATGGGTATCATAGGGTGTTCCGAACCAGATTAGGATAATTTGTGTTTTGGAAAACCATTCCTCTTATGATTTTGGATGTTTCCAAAGAGTTGGGGTGATGCTGAAATCATTTGAGTTAGTATTGACGTTAAGACCGATCTGATTGGCAGATTGGATTTTTCGGGCTGCTTAATTTTCGAAGAGTTTGGAAACATAGTTGAAGACTTTCGCGCGTTCCTGCGCTGTTGGCGGCTTCTAGGTGATAAGAGGTATGTGCAGTCATCGTTATCTGATACAGCAGGATACTTTTGGTGGCAATCATGGCTTTGTGGCAGCTTAGTGGAAAATGTTCGAAAGGTGTGTAAAATTATTGGCACTCTCCTGTGCAGTCGGGGCGGTGTAGTGTTTCGTCGCTTCGTCTGGTAGGTACGTCTGAGGCATTACGTCTATGGATTCCTATTGTTTTGGCGGAAACTGACCATTGTGTGGAGCGTTATTGAAAGTTGAATTTTTTCGAAAATGAGTGAAATTCGAACTGCATATTACGACAATATCCTGTTTCCCATGGCAACTTAGACAAAACCAGTACAGACTTGATCTGCTGGTGTCTAATTTCTTTATATGTATATATCGTCAAACATTTTTGAAAGGGGAGATATGGTAGAATTTTTTTTTTAATAAAGATAGATGAGAATAAATAAGACAGACACACTGTGTAAAAAATATGTGAAATTGAAAAAAATAATTTCGATGTCATAGCCTTTAAAGAGGAAAACTTGCCAAAATGGATTGACCAAATTTTTTTGGTCCCAAAGACAAGGTGGCCCATGAAAAAGTGCTTTAAGGGGGTTCCCCGCCAAAAAGCATAGCACTATCAATTCCACGTCATAAAACCCCAGTGTACCAAATTTAGTGATTCTCGTACAACAGGGTTTTGAGATATAAAAAAAATATTATTCTTAGGAGCGGATTTCAGGGGGCTGTAACTCCGAAAGAGGGGTCACTTGGCAAAAATAAAAAATACGGATCCCCTAAATTTGTCTTAAGAATCTGTAACCAAATTTTGTTGCATTAATTTCGGGACACCCTGTGCATGCCATAAAGATCCCCGCTTATGATTTTCTATTAGTTATTTTCATTTTCCTGTAATGGTTTCCTGTAACATTTTTCGGGTCAAAACGACAGTCCGTATGTAAATGAAATTACATGAAATTACATAAAATACTTTTCAGAAACTGTACGACTTCTACAGATTTCTGCAGAAAATGACCTTGGCAAATGGGTAAATTTATTATAACGCTAGGAAGACTTAGATTTACACTTTTTTAGACCGAATTCTCTCGATAGTACGCGTATTGTACTTTCGCCTATTAATTTTGAACCCATACACCCTACCCTAAACCCATAAACCCTTATAGGTTAAAAAAAATGTAAGCAATTTAATCTATATGCGGACTGTCGTCAATTCTACGTCACCCTATAAATATGTGTTTATATAAACTCTAGAAATTTGTTTTTTTATCAGATATTTCAGATAAAAAATTTAAATTTGAAGCCTTGAATTAGTGGATTAACAATGTGTTATATACCAAAGACTAAAATACATTTGCAAATGCAAAAAATTATTTTTCCCCTCTATGGATTAAAAATAATGTTGAGTTGCAAAGGAGGTGCTTTTAATCCCTGCAACGAAATTAACCAGATCTATTAATGCAATTCAAATAGGTGCTAAGGTAATTTAACAGCCAGTATCGATGTTGTATAAACCAATCGAGTTGCATTTTTGTTAGTGGGATTAAAAGTTAATTTAATTAACATAAAAAAATATATTATACAGGGTGATTCACTTTTTATGATTAGGACTTTAACCATCGATAGATCTCGTCAAAATAATGTCATTTTGAAATATACACTTTTTCTTCCAAAGGCTTCCTTTCAGAGATATAAGCTCTTGAAAAAACTTTTTTTTGGTTTTTACTTATTTTTTCTTAAATATGAAAGCCATCTGTTTTATATTTAGTATAAAGTGTACGAATGAAAAGCTCTATCGATTTTATAAATTATTGTGAAAATAGATCAGTCACAGGCGTCCGTAAGGGGCTCTGGTAACCCCTATTTTAATATAATTTCTACGCCACTGGGAATTTTTCATAATGAATATTTTTTACATTGCGGTTTATTCTACAGCGAAAAGGTCTGTTACTATTTATTTTTTAAATGAAATGTAGTTTTTGAGAAAAATAGCTTCTTATGGATTCATTATAATTAGGTTAACAGGGTAATGATTGAAGTATTTAAATTTATGATTAAGAAAGGGTCCAGAATGTATCAGTTACGCGTTAATAATATTGTAAAGTGACATATAAAACTATTTCTTTATTTTATTACTTAAAGAAAGTGTTGTAGGTGTTTGTGTCACAGATTGTTGGAAAAAAAATCCCATGCTCCTTGAAAGTGATTGTTAGAATAACAATTGTTTATACGTATTTTGACATATTTTCTCAGTCATTGATTTTACGTTGCATTATTAAATTGTTATTTCTGTTTGTTTCTCAATATTAAATATCTTATTCTGTACGTTTTGTTTGAAAAACTGAACCATTTCACATGTACTTAATGAATTCATAAGAAGCCACTTTTCTCAAAAACCCAAGGATTTCATTTAAAAATAGTAAGAAACCTTCTGTAGAATAAACCGCAATGTAAAAAATATATTCTAAAAATAGGGGTTATCAGGCCCCTTACGGACGCCTATGATTGATCTATTTTCACAATAATTTTTAAAATCGATAGAGCTTTTCATTTGTAACTTCATACTAAATATAAAACAAATGGCTTTCAGAGTTTAAGAAACAGTAAATAAAAACCAAATTAAAAAATTAAAATACTTTTTATTTTTAACGAAACGTGACCCTACAATTCCATAGAACTGTTCTATCAAATTATATCTACTTTATTATGTAGAATAACTGTATTAAACGAAAATGGTGAACTGGATAATACAGTGGACCATTTTGGTGATGCATGTATTGGTATCTTGGAAATTATAAGAGATAGGAAAATGGTAGTTCCGTTGCTAACTTACTGGAGCTTGAAGTCCGGTCTTAGTTCTTCAGGTTTTTGAGTTATTTTGAAAAAAATAAATAAAGGTGGCGTTTTCGAAAATCGTCTAACTTTTTTATTTAGAGAAATTTTTAAAATTTGAAAGAACTTTTTCACAGCAATTTTTTCGAGGAATTTCATTGTATATTTAGATTTTCATTGCGACGTTTCGGTTGCGAGAAACCATCATCAACTTTCTTTTTCTTATGGGCGCCATATTGGATTTTAAGCTGAGCAAATAGAGCATTTTTTTGGCTTTTCAGTGACATAATATAAAGAAGAAAAAATTTCAAAAACGTCAAAAATAAATTTTTTAATGTTTATTATAAAACAGCCTCAAATTTTTGTAAAAGCTTATCATTAATGTTGTTTTGTCTTACTTCCTCGAATGATGGAAATAAATACACTTTTGAACTTTTTAGTGGACCGTATTTTATTCTAATGAAATAACATGTAACATGTATAACTGCTGTGCGAAGCACATGTGAGCATTACAATAATACTAAACGAACTGTCTCGTTATTGGCCCTTTCCAGAGACGTTAGTGGGGATACAATACATGATGGACCTCTGGCGGCAATATCAACAACATTTTTAAAATTTAAATTGCTCATATGGCATTACAACTATTTAACAAATGTCATGACATTGAGTGAAAAAATGAACCTTTGCGTTTATTTCAAAGAAGAAAATGTAATATGTTGGAGTGCTTTATTGAAAATAATGAAAAGCAACTGTGGCTTTAAACAGTTATATTGGAAATTATCCCGAAAGACAACCTCCAAAAGAAATGTATTTTTCTAAATTTATTACAAATTTGAGAATGTTTGGAAGTTTTGAACAGCTACAAGCTAAGAACTATGAGATAATAATAACTAAGGCAACAATTTTTTTCTTCATTGGAATAACGAAAAGCCATTTTTCCGATTTTAAAACAAGTGTCACACTAACTGTTAACAATGGAACTCTATGATTAACAACAGTTGAAAATGAAAACAGTTTGAAATAAATAAAAATATTATCGTCATAGAGATTCATAGAACGGCATCTCTTTAGTATGCCCAGACTGCCCGGGCACAATAAAGAAATGCTGACTTGCACAATAAAGAGATGCCGACTTTTAGTTTTTATATGGTTTCAACTATCTTCGTAACCACTATATCTATAATATTATATAATATATCTATGAAAAGCTTTTTTATTATTTTCCAATGGTCTAAAAATATGTAAACTATTCCATTTAAAAAAACATAAGCTATGCCGTTCGGAAATGCTACATTCAAATGTCATTGTATAAATAAAGATATGTAAATGTACCATATAAACTAAAAATTCTTCAGTAGGGTTTTGAAATGATCAACAAAATTAACAGTTGATACATTTTTGGTAGGTATCGTAATTAATCATAGTCATTTTTTTGTTTATATATTTTCTGTCAGACTATTTATCGAAAGGTATTTACAAATAGGTACCGAATGCGTGGCACAATTTTTCTAAAGGCCACAACCTTCAATCTCTAGCCAAATATTCCATGACTCTATGAAATCTGTACTTCAATACCAATTTTTGGTGCGATAATATTAAATCATACCTTTCTAGCTGTACAACGTATTCTCGGAAACTTACAGATTTTCCTGCCAAAGACGGGAAAAATATTGATAAAAAAAAAACTATTATATATTTTGCTGTTTTCCACTTATTTTAAATGCTATTTCTTGTTTGTCTCGTTGATTAATTCGATTTTAACATTCACATTTTAGAAATATTCTGAAGATACATAATACTAAAATTAGGGGAATTAGTGGATAGTGCGGTACATACTTACTGCGTTTCTTTTCCGTATATAATCTTCCGAATTTTTTCTAGATCTTCTCTAGGTAATTGCGTCAAAGCACTATCAATTCCATCAAATTCTTTGTAATCGGACATAATGTATTTCGTTAAACTGCAATCGTTGTGTCAGAAGAAGCACAATTAAAGATACCTACTAGATAGATGCGAGTCGATTCAAAAGATCAATTAAAAATAGCCGCAGCGTTGTTACACAATTATCTAGGATTGAATGCTTATTTTTCATTTTATAATTAAAATAACATTGACGTTTGTGATTGTACCTTTTGCACCTGTTTTACATGAAAGGTATTTAATAATGTTCTTCCATTAATGTAGTTCAATAAAATACTCACTATTTTTATTAGTTTGCCAACAAAAATAAAAATATAACAAATGTGAATATACTTCGATATTGAGTTGAATGTATTAAAGTCACATACAATATATACAAGGTGTAACTGAAATAAGTATTCAAAATTTCTTACAATTTTTGTCAGTCGCGGCTCCTAAATTGACCAAAGTGGGATTAATTCAAGAGCGATTTTCTCAGAAACCGTTAAAGATAACGATTTGAAACAAGGGTACCTTTTTAACGTAAAACAGTTCGGGAAAACGGAATTTGCTGTCCAATTTGTTAAAAAGTCAAAGATGAAAAAGTTACACACGCAAAGTACCAAGGGCCCACCCGTACCCACCCCAATGGACCTTGTGGAAATAAATGGATTAGTCCATCAAATTGCTCATCCAAATTTAGCTGTGTATACCAAATTTCATTCATTTATCACAACGCGATTGAGAGATATTGCAAAAAATGATATCCATTCCTCCCTCTTCAATGGCTCCCTGTGCCCTTAGTAAGCATTTCCGGACCCATGTTCATATGAACTTTTTTACTTAGTTTTGATCATAGAATCGGCCTGTTCAGGGTTGGCAGCTAATTATGAGACACCCTGTATAAAACCAATTTAGAGTTGATTTTTTCTCTAATGATTTAATTTTAACTATTGAGTCATTTTTTTACTCAGACTTGGTTTTTAATTAACTAAATATTGAGTTCAAAAATAAATCACTAATAAATGATTAATTAGGATATACAGTGTTGAAATTAATTTACTCCTCCTTTCCTGGCTGAGACCCGCCGGCCCGGGCTAAGGCCTGTTCTCTTGGCGCTAACGCTTTTCTGGAGCATATAACGAGCCCTTATCAACTGTGGTCGAGATTAAAGAAGCAATATGTAAGGGTGCCATCTTCACGGCGCCATTCAAATTACTCAAAATTAAGATAACATTTTAAACTCACTCACTAATGAGGACATTTACTCTGATTTAAGTACAAGTGCACCAAATATGAGTACGTGAAGAATTTATTTAAGGAGTGCCTATATTTGAGTGAAAGTACTCAAATTTGATTTAAATATAATCACAAATGAGTAAAATGATCAAAATGCCCAATATTGAGTGAAAATATACTCAATAATTTCACTCAATGGATTGACTCCGAACCTTTATCGATTTCAATGACACCGATTTTTTTAAAGTGTGGAAGAAAGTGACAGACAGATTGAATTGACAGTATACATGAGTATTACATGTGAAGTACGTATCTTAATTCCTACTGGTATTTCCTGTAGAAGGTATCTATTAACGTTGACTGTTTGTAACGTACCAACCCTGGCCGGCCGTTACTTTGTTGTCGCCCCTCTAGACTACCAACTCTAAACGGAATTTTAATTCGCAACTGAATTTTACTTTACAATATTTATTGACGTCACTGACGTCCCTGTTTGGACGCCTAATTTTGTGACGACCCTTGACTACTATTTTATCGGCAGCAGTGGTTGGCAACCGGCGGTGGTGAGTGACGTCGCAGGAACGTACTCCGGATTAAAATCTTTTTGTTCGGTTTGTCTCGGGCGCCAGTTTCCATATCTTTTACGTGCGGGAAACTCCACGTGAACCCTACCCTCGGTTTAGAGTAAGTACTCGGGATAGCTGCAGTGAACAAAGTTTAAATCCAGGGGTCTGTTATATTTCTCTTACTTTTAATCAAAGTTGTTCTCAGAGTGTAGTGTTATTTTACTTTTAAAATAAACGGACTTATCAGTGTAGGTCACAAAAGTAAAATAGATTCTAGTTACAATTATTATAACCAACTAAAATCAAATAATATACAAATAGTTTACAAGCGGTGTGAATAAAATAAAATAGGTTAGAGCATTTATTTTCTACAGATTTAAAATGCCTATTCGGTTTTCCGATGCTGTAAATAAATATAAAATTAGCACGTAGTCAAATATCAGGACACAAAATCGGTACAGTAGAAAATCGGAGTATTTGGCGTTTGGTTTATTTACAATAATCAAACTACTACTCTAAGAAATCGGTACGCCATAAATAATTATTCGGTTTTAAATTTCGGTCGGTGCTAGAAAGGAAACAAAATAAGGTTAATAAATTAGAGTAATAAATAATCAATAAATAAATTGTCTCAAATGGCTCTGAAACAGAGAAAAATAATTACGGGTTAGTCTAATTCTACAAATAAATATCGGCGGCAGTTTCTAGCAAAGCAACGGAAATTAAGCGGAGGTTCAACCAGCCAAGGAGAAAAGCAAAGCAATATAATTTACAACGGGCATAAATAAGCAAACAGTAGTCAGGAAAATGAATTATTTGGTTAACAGTCTGGGCGAGGTGGGCGTTCAAACGCGTGGCGGGCGACAGATGTCTCCCAGAAGCGGTGGGGCACCCAGCCAACTTCGAGGGTCTATCCGTCGTTGCACAGCCGACACACAACGTCTTCTACTGGCGGTGGGACACCCAGCCAAACCAGCAGTTTCGGTTGATGTGACGGACAACGTTCGTCGAACGAGGGCGGTGGGACACCCAGCCAAACCTTCGCCGACAACTCTGTGGTCGTACTGTCTTTACAAAGTTTAAAACGGCCAGACTTATACCATAGCAGGACAAGTGAATTTAGGAAAATACAATTTGCTTACTTATTCCGGATGGTTGCTCCCGGCGGCTAACTCCTTGAGTCGGATGGCGGTCTCTAGTCGGTTTTAGATCCTCAGGGTGGTCCTCAGGCTGGAACTGGAGCTCTGCGAGTTCAGGATATGAACGGAGGATTTTCGTCCAGGAACGCTGGTTTTATTCCCTCAATCCCCCCTTGACTGAGCAGGAGTCTTGGTGGGATTATGCGCGCGGCCCTCGACAGAGTGCAACTGTTGCAGTAATTGACTTTTATCTGTAGACCATGAGTTTTACAAAAAAAAATTCTTGCATTTTTCACAAAAAAGCCTACACTTCTTTTCAATTCTTCTTGGGCAATAATGGCAGCGTCGATATGTGCTTCCTGGGTTTGGTGGGATGGTGTTTTTTCCTAAGGTAGCACTATACTAGTCTTATAGCATTTACTACTCTTCTAGATTTAAAAAATTTCTCATTCTTTTGGCTACATGTGGTTTTATGAGGTCAAGTCCGACGTCGAGCAAAAAGAATCTCCTTTTGTGCGTTTGGTTTTCTTTCCAGTTTGGAAATTTCATTTTCCATAGTACTTGTCCGTCAGCCTCCACATCCAAATCAAACGTTTCAGTATTTCTGAGGATCGCAAATATAAAGAAACGGACAGTTTATAGGTTTGGAGAACAATAAACATACACTTCAGTTGCGGAGCTCAGTTCAAGGTTCAGACGTGATAATTTAGTCGAGAAACGCCAAGCGGGATACAAAATATATCCCAGCCAACAAAATTGATTATAACTTGAAAAATATTACTTGTAAATGACCAATTTCTATGCAATATGTTCACTGAGGTATTTTTCAAGGTTTTGATAAAAGAACAAAATGTTTAAAAAATTATTCGTCGAAATACACGTGATTTTGTGCGTGTGGGGTACATAATGTACCCCCTTGGTAGCCTGAAGGTTAAGAAACCACGGATTTTTTAAATATCAAGTCCACGATAATTTGCAACAAATAACAAGGAAATGTGGCTAACTGAAGATGTAAAAGGAAGAAATTTATAAATTTGGTTTCGGTGTACACTAGACGCAAGATAAAGGTTTCCAATCTAAATCGTATTTTGTTTGAAATATGACGGCTTAACCGCTTGTCTATAAGGGGCGTTTCCATTAAACTCGTGTGGCAATATTTTACCGTCACATCTGACATTTTACGAGTTTTGTACAAAAATGATTTCCTGGTAGATTGGCATTTTTAAAATGGGACTAATCGGCAAACTCTTATAGCAGACCCCGTATGCATTTTTTATTACCTTGTTTCTATTAAAAGAGTTGCATTTACATTACAATAAAAAAATCGAATCATCCTAGTTAATAAATCTTACGAAACTACTACCTACTTACGAATAGTTAGATTGAATGGATTTAAGAAAATAAAAAATTTAATTTTTTTTGATTTTGAAAACCCTGCAGCTCGGAAACAGTGGCCTTAAAAGCCTACGTATGTGTAACAAAATTTACTTAATTTTAGCCACATAATGGGCCTCTGTTTTTTCTGTACGCCATTAATGAATACTGTATTGGTGCCCGAATGAATTTTATATATTTTTTTCAATCTACTCTAAAAAATGTAACTTTTCTTTTCAAAGAAATAGATATAATTTTTAATAAGAAAGTTATAATAATTTCAAATTTTTAATCGTAAATTTTAATGATGTAACAAAACTAAAACAATTTTTTTTCTATACTATTCGATTGATTATTTAAAATAATGAAAAGTTGCCTTCGAATTTTCTTTTACGTTTGTTTTTTAGACAGATACAGATTTATTTACCTTTTTATTTTTGAATTTTATTTAGCTCCTACGATACTGCCAGGACAAAGATAAAAAATCACGTTCGCTTTGTCGCACTCATGGTACCGAAGTTGTGGACAACTCGTATGCTTATGACAAAGATAGATTAGTTCGGTCGCTATTGTCAATGCGCGTGGGTCAGTAAATGTATGTTTCTTTAAATTATTGTATGCTCAATATCCATTGTTAATCTCAAAAAGGTAAATACATATTAATAAGGACTAATATTTTTTCTTTTAGCCTAAAATGGATTTAAACGGATGCAAATTAATCCTCAGG